TCTAGAGCGGAACTTTCCGCGCCGCAACCGCTGCGGATGTTCCACGCCAGTCTGTGGAAGCCTTTTAGGTGTTCTTTACTACTGTTTTTTTTCTTCAAATTAATGTCGTAGGTGCATCATAATGACAAAAACGTAATAACTCTTTTTTTCGTCATTTATAGTCATATAACTGTTAATAAGTTAATCACTTTTCTACGAAAAAATACTTTTTAAGATGAAAATCATATCACTTTATCATATAAAAATATTGCGGATTATTTTTGGCGCCAAATTCAAATTTCCAAAAATATAAAAAGTTAAAAACAACAATTTTTAACATGTTTTGTGAGCTCTTTTGATGTAAAATAACAAGAATTATTTGAAATAATTTTAACTCAAATCCTATTTCAATTCCTTTGTTATTATTAAATCAAAATAAGCAATTTTGTTTATTTGTGACAAAATTAATAATTGTGAACACCAATCTAGACATACGAGGTGTCATTCGATGAGCCTCGGTCTCATGAAGAACTAAAAATTTGTTTCGCATCCGTTCAGAAAATTCATAGAAGTTTTCAAAAACGTGTTTTTGCATGTTTTGGCGCTGCTTGTAGTGATTATATCAAGAATTAAACCAACGACACCTAAATAGATCTATGTAAGTGGCTTTAGTACTCAAAGGTCTTTTTCGCTCAATACGCCATAATTTTCTTTCACGACGTGGACAACACTGAACAAGTGAATCGCGCGATATATTTCATTTTAATTTTTATCCGTATGGTTATGGCCATATTTTAAAAAAATAATTTTCAGAAACCTACGAATAGTATTGCCTTGGAACTTATTAAATATGTAGAATTTCAAGTGAATATGGAGAAAACAAAACTGTGTTGTTAGAAAATGAATGAAAGGTCTTACGTTCGACTTCTCTCTTTTACGTTCCTAAGTGTACCGTTTTTCAAACGACCGATTAAGTACCGATTTTCAAATGAATGTGACGGATAACATATTCTTATTAAACTTAATGAACTCCTTACGCATTCAAACATACAAAACAATCGACTTTTAATGTTTATATAGATTCGTATACAAAACGATACGTAGTGCAAATGGAGAATGGAAGTGAACAGAAATAACTGAGGATGTGTAGTTTTAATCTCTTCAAAAATTATGGTAGAAAAATATGTAATTATTTAGCAAATCCGGGGAAGAAACAAATGCATTTGTAGAAGATTTTGCGACAGAATTTTTGGAACTAATTGAGAATGATCTTATATTATGGTTATAAAATTACTCAACAGCTTACAGGTGATCTTTGGGAATTCTTGTGTATATTAGCAAAAATAATAAAAAATGTAGCTGTTCTAAACTCTCACGAGGCGCATCATCAATACCTTCAAGAATATATTACGACGATTATAATTTTGAAATTGCAATATTACCAGTTAATATCCTCTATTGACGTAACATACAAGGCCATTGGATGTTGGGAAGTTTTGAAGGGGAGTGTAACGGTTACTATGTATCGGCTACTAGGATTCATTGGTAAGTACAATGCTAGATACTGTAAGAACATATTTGATTTTTCCTTAAGGTTAGCAATTTTTATATCATATATTTCAAGTAGTCTTTAAATAATCTCTAAAAGGTTAATGTGTAAGTTTCGTAACAAAAGGTAGAATTTATGAAACACACAAATAAATATGAAATAATATACGAATTGT